TATTTGTATGCAAAATCACATAGTACATACATTGGGTATACAATAAATGTGTAAACCCGGGTTTATTCTAAGGGTGTTCTAGAAACACAAAGTGTAATCACGTGCTACTTTAGTTAGAAACGCAAAGTATAATTACATGACACTTTAATTAGAAATATAATAGAGTAGCGAAGTCTACGGAAAGTGTAATCTGCATTACTAAACCCAATATTATAGTCTTGTAATTTAGCATCGTTTCTTATTGATTCTCTTTAAAGGACGTATGCCTAAAGTGATGTAATTAGTCAATGTAGATCTTCCAAATAAGGGAACCATCTAAAGCCAGATAGTTTTGTAAAGTAAAAAAGTCTTGTGAAGCGTATAAATTACTACCTGGCTTTAGGCGATTCCCAAATGAGAAAAAGGTACATCAACTGCAGTGAAGATCAGGGATTCTAAATTAGGATAGTGGTAATTAACGATCCAAATTAAAACAATCGTACTGTCCTTGATCACGTGTTACAATTTTAAAGTCTGAATGTTTCATGTAGTAATTTGTAGCATAAATATGTAGTAATTTATAGTATCAACAATACTATTGGTAGCACAATGATGTAATGATAAAATTGATATAAATAGGAAAAAAAATTTTAAAAAAAAAGTTGGTCTCTTATTTTATAGAAAGTAAAGCGATAATAAAGACTTGTGGAAATACTGTGGTCACACATTGCCAAAAGTATATAAGTGTTTATGTATCTTTGAATGCAATAATTATAATAGAACTTATTTAACCTTTACCATTTCCTATATTATAATATCTGTCGCATTTTTCATAGCGTACTTTATTTTTTAACCTTTACAAGTATTACTCTTACAAGACATGGATAATGATGAAACCAACAATAATGAGGAAAATAACGGGGTCAATAATGAAGAGACGAATAACATGGTCAATAAACTTAATTATGAGATCGATAGTGAAAATAATAGCGAGACCGACAATGAAGTAAATAATGAAGTTTATAATGGTATGTGTTTTATATCATCCTTTTTTATAATTATATTCTAAAACTTAATTTGACATTGGTACATCTTTTTTAGAAGCATTGTCTTACGATTTTTCTTTGTTGAAAGTTGGCTACACATTTCAAAAATGGAGCGACGTTGATCCTTTCTTTAAAGCATATGGTCGGCACTTCGGTTTTTCTATAATCAAAAAGAGAGTTGAGACGCGTAATAACGGTGTAATAAAGTATCGATCTTTTTGGTGTGAATTTGGAGGGAAATATAAACCCAAAAAGAACGTTGACATTAATAATCATCATAACCGAAAATCTAAACATCAAGAATGCAAGTGGCATATAAATTTAAATTTGTCTAAGGATTCTAATTGTATCTCAGTTACGACGTTTGAAAATACACACAATCACGTGCTTCACCCCAAGAACTGCGAGTATGGTACCAATTTCCGGTCAATTGAGAAGGATGCGTTAAAAGATATTGAATTCTATACCAAGAATGGAAATCTTTCAATTTCTGTGCAACGTCAGCTGTTAAAAGCCAGGTATCCGGATATGATATTTTTGGACATGGATCTCGCGAATGCTATTCGTCGGTTTAAACATAAATCTTAAGAACTTGAAACAGACGCTTCACGTCTGTTTTCATTTCTTACCAAGAAGCAATCGGAGGAAACAGGTTGGGTTGTGGAATTTGAGTTAGATAACGATAATCGGCTTGTCAAACTTTTCTGGATGACGCCCACACAAGTCTCTTTGTGGCTTGAATATCATGATGTTGTTCTTAATGACAACACTGCCAAGACGAATCGATATCAAATGCCTCTTAGTCTGTTCCTCATTGTTGATAACAACACCAGATCCCGTTTGGTAGCCCAAGCATTGGTATCGGACGAGACGGTCGATTCTTATCAGTGGATTCTCCAATGCACTAAAAATATCACAAGCATTGAACCCCTGGTTATTATTACAGACACCAATCCGGCAATGGACAGTGCACTTAAAAAAGTATATGAAACTACCAAATCATTGCATTGTATCTATCATATTAGCCAAAATCTCCCAAAAAATCTTAAAGCAACCTTAGGTAACATGTTAAATTTGTATAATTGGTTAATTTTTTTAAATGAATTTTGTTAGACCAATTTATCGCTATTTGCAAGATCAAATTTTGCAGATCGTAGTTTACAGTACAATCGTTTGATTGTTGTTCAATTGTCCGATTGTAAAGTAAAATATTTTTTTTATAATTTATGACTTCTGACTTTCTATATTCATATCCTCATTATAGCGTTCATATTATCAAAAATAACCTTTACAATCGCACAATTAGGTAACAATCGTGTGATTGTACATGTGAATAGTGACTTGCAAAATTTGATCGAAGATACATCATCTTGTAAATTTTAAATTAATGTTATAAATCATTTAAAAAAGTCATTTATATTTATTTTTGGTTATTTAATAACACTATAGGTAATACATACGAACAGTTTATTAGTAAATTCTACCATTGCCGCAACACTTTAGATGATACGTTGTTTGAAACAAGATGGCAAAGATTATTAGAAAAGTTTCCATCTGCATCAAATTATTTAAACCGAGTTCTTTATCCAAGTCGCCATGCCTGGGCTTGTGCCTTTACGTCTAAAGTATTCACCGCCGGAATTCAAACTACGTCTCGCGTAGAGGAGTACAATAATATTATAAAACGTGTACTAAACAGCAGCAGCAGTCTATGTGACTTAGTTCAAATGTTAGATTAAAGATTAAAAAAAGAAGCTGAATGGAACCGTTTCTTCGAGTATCATACTTTGTCTTCTTGCATGGGAATCGCCAATAGGAAGTGAGATATTCTCAACTATTAATCATGTGATATCGGAATTCTTAACGCTGCATATCCTTTCTGCTGTGAATGTTGAAATGGCCCAATGTTTGTATTTTAATGCAACATTGGTCACCTTTGAAGCAATAGATTTACATAATGAGGTTTGAGTTTGTAACTATTTTTACATACTTGAATTATATATGTGGGTGATGCCAAGAGTAAACAGACTTCGATCATATAAATTTTATATGATCGAAGTCTGGTTTTCTCTTGGCGTCACCCATATATACATGGTTTTATGTATTAAATTGGTTAAGCTATGCTAACTAATTATAATTAATCATTATTATAGGATGAAAGCATAACTGACAAG